AGAGAGAGAGGGAGAGAGAGAGAGAGCGAGAGAGAGAGAGAGAGAGAGGGAGGGAGAGAGAGAGAGAGAAGATGTGAGTATGTGAAGATGTGAGTGCGAGAGAGAGAAAGTGAAGATGTGAGTATGTGAAGATGTGAAGATGAGCAGATGTGAAGATGAGAAGATGTGAGCAGATGTGAAGATGAGCAGATGTGAAGATGAGCAGATGTGAAGATGAGAAGGTGTGAAGATGAGAAGATGTGAAGATGAGAAGGTGTGAGAGAAGGTGTGAAGATGAGAAGGTGTGAAGATGAGAAGATGAGATACAGACCCCCACTATTGGAAGAACCCTGCGCTCAGACGCTCTCGGGAAAAAAGGCTGCAGAATTCGTGTAACATGCCTGCTGCAGGTTGGTGTGTTTGTGTGTGTGTGTGTGAACCGTCTGCAAAGACGTAAAACTTCCTCGGCATTGTTGATTTGGAATTGTTGGTCATTTTCCCGTTTTTGAACTTGCTTAGATTTTCTGGTTTCATGTCAGTTTTTCAACAAGCAGGGGGGCAGTGAATCTCATTCCATCCACTGCCCAACGAAGACGGTGGTTTGAGATTGTGATATCGGGACTGATCATCCCGACGTACCTGCATTTTCCAACTTTCAGTTTATCGTCCATGGCTACCGGCTAAGCCAAGAACCGGCATGTCGATTTAGTTGGTTATTTGGGTATTACAACTGGTCAGCTGCATCAGAACCTTCTTCAGAGCAAGGACGTAGAAAATTTACTTCGCCATGAATTTCACGCTGGATCAACTAATTTTCCTGTCAGACTTTAAGGGATTGTCTTGTGCACGTGAGATGCATTCCACAACAGTAATTCGCAATGATGTTTCTGAGCAAGTGTGTCATTCCTGCTGTGTACGTCAAGTTGGCAGGAACCCTTCGGGGAAAGCCTTTCTAGGCTAACAATTGACAGTAAAACGATGTCTGAATTTACACTTTTGAATTAGTAATTCGTCTAAGTAAAGTGAACTGCTGGCCATTTTCCGGGTTTCACACGTCGGTCGAGTGAGTGTTGAACAACTGGCCGCTGTACCGGGCCTCCTTTTCCTTTTCGCAGACTTGCATAGTTGGACGCCACGACAACAATCGGCCTTTTCACTGGAACTCAAGAGACTGCCCGCAGCCATTTTGACATGATCAGGTAACAGGACATGCTTTACAGGTGTGGTCACTTCTTTTTGGTTTCTTTGGTGAGGTTCAAATTGTGCACCTAATTCAGGGGTTGAACACGTAAGCCGTCCAGAGGGTTGTGACGTGATTTCTGGCCATTGAGCCTAACGAGGGGAAACTTGCACGCATATGTGGATGCATCTTTCTTGTTGAACTAGGTTGTTCTCTTTTAATCGTCTGACAGTGCTGCTAAACCTGCTCTTTTTTGGCCATGTTTCCTGGTCGGTGGCCAAACTTTTCCGAGAACATGTGGAACTGTGGTTGGTCAGCGCCTGCATTTACATCACCTCAACCTGCGGCACAATTTGGTCAATTTTGTGGAGGTGATCTGATGAACCAACAGTCTCAAGCTCAGTCACAAGCTCAGACCCAAGCTCAGTTGGCTCAGTTAAGGGACCAAAATACATTGCTGCAACAACAGTTGAACTCTCAAGCTCAGACCCATATGCAGCAACTCCAGCAGCTTCTTCCATTCCATCAGACCTCTCAACCCACCGCATCGCATCAGACTCCTTCATCAGTACCTGAAGCACCAACAGCGCCAACTGTCCAAATTCCTCCTGCTCCCACTCCAGTTCATCCCGCTCCACCAGAGCCACATCCCACCTTCAATCCAGAAGAGATGATGCAACAGATGCGACATACAGTGGAATCAGGTATGCAAGCGTTTATGGCAATGACCAAAGAGAGGTCAAAGAGTCCTCATCCACCACCAGCGACTCCAGCTGCAGAGCCACCATCCGTGGCCCCATTGCCACCACTTCCACGGCTTCACCGCCGTTCCAGGTCACGATCTCAGATGGACAAACGTCCCATTTCAATCCCGAGAAGCCCAAGACGTCACCGACGGGATAGCCGCTCCCGCCAACATCGTCGACGCTCCCGTTCAAGGGATGAATCCATGTCTCCGGGTCGTCCCCGGTCAGTCACTCTTCGATCCAACTCTCCACGTCGCCGGGAAGACCTATATCAACGTGAGGAACTTCGACGTCGTGATGAGTATGCTGCTCCATCCACTACACAACAACCTCCATCTTGGCATGACCCTCACTACGAACCACCTTCAATTTCAGAACATTCAGACTACCAAGACTACTCATCATACCCTGACTACGGCTCCACCAACAAGTGGAAGTCTTGGCAGTCTTGGAAAGTCTCAATATTACACCCATCCTTCCGGATGGATTGATTACTCCAAGCCACATCACAAACATCAATCTTATGATGAACAACCTTCCAAGTATCCCTCGAAGCCCCTGACGGCATACTCACTGGACAAGCATTCCCGCAGCCAGGGCAATCATCCCAATCGCTCTGGCTCAGCTCATTCCAGAGCTTCCACTATTCCACCTGGTCATATGGCCATCAACCTTAAAGAAGGTTCCAGAGAGGAATGGGCTCGCCAAGTCAAATATGCCCTCACCCATCCAGGGCGGATGCCAGCAGCAAGTGATCTTGACGCAAATGAGCTTCCTCAGCCATCCACG